CCCCCCCCCCCCCCCCCCCTGCCCAGGCCCCAGCGCTGGCCTGCAAGGCGAGAGAGAGGCAGTGACGGCAGCCTGCCCCCTTATGCTGGGCCCCTTGCTGGACTCTGGAGAGGGAAAAGAGACGAGGCAGGGAGAGGCCCACTCAAACACACACCGAAAGTCCTGTTTATGTCTATGCCGAATTTGACAGAGAATGCACATTCTCAAGCACAGAGAGTTGAGCACGCAGAGAGCCAACTGGACAAAACCGGACAGGCAACAGAAATCTGGGTGAGGTGGGTGCAAATGCGAAAGCCCACAAGTCGAAGTTATATAACCTCAAATAAATGGTATCCCCCCCCTCTCGGGAAATACGTAAATACTGTAGATGAGAAACAAAACTCTTTTGAAAGATGGAAAAAATGTATACGTTACATCCATAATTCAGTTGAAAATAAATAAATCTAGATATCCTTCAATGCCCTATTCATCAAACAATTAATTGTATTGTTTTATTCTGGACGATATCTTTCTGCATGACCTGTGCTCCATATACAAAAAAAACTACCTGTGTGATGATGTGTTTGGCCTACAAACCATTAACCACGTAATTGAGGACCAAAAGACATTAGGGGGAACTTAACACTTCATTAGTCTCATATGCAGCTCAACATATGTGGGAAACAGCACACATGTACAGACAAGTGGGTCTTTACAAGTACAGCAGCCTCCTTCTTTCTATAGGGTTACATGTGAGAGGAAGGGACCAATTACTGTAGTCACGAAAGGGGGGTGGGGCGTGTATTTCAACGTACAGAAGACCTAATGGACTGTACCATCGCCACAGCACACAGGTCCATTACAACCTGCTACAGATAAAGTCAATACAGACACCAATGGAGCCCATTTTGTATCTTCACACGAAGAAATACACTGAAAATGCATTCAGAAGTTGAAGGATGAATGGTCCTCATTTGGGTTGAGTCTCCCATTCGGTCCCAAATAACAGGTTATCTCGTACATTTCCACAAGATATAAATTCAGAACATGTGTGGCCGTTGATCTCAAGAGTGCCAAGTTGTTGAGGAAAGACGACAAATTCACTTTTCTAAAAGAAGCAATGAAGAAGCATACATAAAAACACCATCTTCCCTACTGCGTTACAAATGTCCATCTCAATATTCAAATGTGTATTTACATCCTGTAATTTGGTCCCCTTCAGATGTACTTTGAAGGGATGAGCAGAAGAGAGAAGCGCTAGAGGCTTTTTGAATTTCCTAATCAAGTAAGACAAGACGTTCGTAGTAATAAATTATGTCATTATCAGGCAGGGGCTCAGTTCTACATGGCTATGCTGTCAGTGGTTAAGGAGTAACAATAGGTGTAGATTTAGAAATAATCCTGCCACGCGATGTGTGTGTTTGTTTATGGACATATTTTTGGACATGGTCTAACTGTATGTTACATGAAAAGAGGGCTGAATTCTCCACTGACCCCTGCAGCGTATCTATGTTTTACCATGGGTTATTGTGTTATTAAAAAGGGAACGAACTAGCTCATAATTAATTAAATCAATTATGGGGGAAATTCCACAAAGTCCACAAAGTTTGCACATCCCTATAAGTCAGGCCTTTAATTTAAAAGGGGGTCACTCATGTAGGTCACAAAGTGCTGACATCAACTTCTTTCATATTGTGATGTTACATTCATGGAAATATTGATAATAGTTAATGCATTACATCTCAATACATTTGTACTTGTACAAAGAATCATAGTTGTGAAATCACGAGACTGAAACAATTCCAGGAGATACGATTGCGGAAATGCCTAACGGCAAAGCCACATATGTTAGGAGTTGATCACATGTTAATAATAGACTATTTCAGAGATGTTCAAAATACAGCAAGCCACAAATATACACGTGCAGGAGGCATGTCTTCAAAGCAACAAAAAAATGTCTCACCTGAGGTTTTAGCATTCCTTTGTACAATAGGTAAGTGTTGAAACCTTGCCTCAGTTTTTCCCAAGTTGTTAATCCTGTTCAATAGAAAAGCAAAATGGCATGTCGCAAATCAGTGAGTGGGCCTCGTACCTGACCAGCCGTCCCTCTGTTTATATAACAGTGAATTACTTTCAACAGCAACATACGCACTCAATTGTGATCAGTAGCGTAAGCACACGCACACACACACACACACACACACACACACACACACACACACACACACACACACACACACACACACACACACACACACACATTAAAACTGTGTCAAACCTGTTTCCTACGAGGACTCGAGCAACATAAATTACAATTACTCAACTTCAGCATTCCTCCTGTGCATGCAAGTTTCATACCTCGGCTCAACTTTTCCCCATGAAGACCCGAGTTGCGTTTAATCCTCTTTAGTCTCTCCGTTGGTCGTCGTGGTCATTCATGCTCTTGCAAAGTGAGTCCCCTCCATGTTGCCTGCTGGGTGGGTTAGCTTCGAGCAGAGAGAGGACCGCGTTGTACTAAACTCAAAATGTGAGGCGACTTGGGGAGAAAACGTCTAACTCGTACGCCCTTCTAGACGTCGGCACACACACACACAGCAGCGCTGGTAGTAGCTAGCGTTAGCGTGGCTAGCTGGCTGCTTTAACCCTAAAACGAGGCACGAAGTCCAACCAGCTTACTAACCGCTCTGCGACCGCGGCCGACGAACATCCAGCGGAAAAACAGTTGAGACGCAGATTTATTTCAAAGACGCGCAAACGTACGCACTAACATGGAGAAAACTCAATCACACCTACGGTAGTCCGACGTGAAATACCTCCTTCTTCAGGACCCAAATAGATGGCCATTACTTTTTGTTATGCACCGCCCCCTCTTCAGGACCTCTACGGGAAAAAAGGGATTTCCCCCCCAGCCCCTCCGGTAACCAATCACCGGTGGGCTCGACGTGTATCCCTTGCTGTGATTGGTGACATTTCGGCCGAGCCCGCTTTTCTTTGGTCGGCTCCGGGGCGCATAAGCGGAGAGCCGCCCCCTCAAACAGGGGTGTGTCGTGACGTCAGAGGTAACGGAGAGGTAAACAACTTTGACCGCGTGAGGTTTAAAGCAACATCGTTTCGCCTCTAATCCCCGAATCAATGGACACCCCGGTGCGGGGGATCATTGCACCTAGATAATACACCCTGATTTCTCAATAATGTGGAAAAAGTCCCGTTGGGGTATTTTTTTTTCTATTGCGCCACGGTGTCTTTGTTTTGCTGCTTCAGGCTTTGAGCCACATATTTGGAATTTGAATACACAACACCACCACCATCGATACTACGCAGTTGAAATAATATAACCAGATATAACTGGTCCTTAAACTGCCGCTGTGCGCATTTTGCTTCATAATTTCTTTGACAGTTTGCAAATGTGTGCACTGAGGCGTGTGTGTCGGAGGGGTGTGTCTACTCTGCAGTACAGTGGTAGGCTGGGAAGCGATGCCGATGCTGCATGGCGATCTTGCCATAAATTTGCAATGCATGAGAAATGGCCCAGTATGCTAAACATAGACGATTAAACAATCCATTACACGATCACACTGGGCAAACCTTGCTGAATTGTTGAGCCTATACCAAGGTAAATCTCGTTTTGTTTTTTTTAGCATTTATTAGGCTACATTTGTTCATTCATGGTTGCGTGCACATGTGAGCTATGTGGTGTTAATGGTGTGTGCGTGTGTGTATGTACGATGGGGCCAGCGGAGGGGGCGTGGGTGAAGGTCAGGGGTGTGTCTATAATGTAAACACAGTAAAGGCGACAGATACGAAGGGGAGAGGAAAAAGAGAGAGGAGGGCCTCATCCGGTTCCATATAACTCCTTTACTCCTGCTGCAGCCTGAAAACAGGAGATAGATCTGTGCAGATTGTAAAGAGAACACTGTGCTCAGCTTTCAGATTATTTAGTATTTCCAATGATGTTAAGGGAGTTTTCTTTCAAGCAGTAGACATTATTTCATGACATTTTACGAGGTCAGTCAATATGTTATGTTTTGTTTATTTTTGTATTAAATAAAAGCTTAACCAAATACAATACAATTTCAAGGACTTTTATTGTGGTACTATTTCGATCCCATTCTGTATATTGTACTATTTTGAAATCATCTTTATTTTGGCCTTAAGCTTAAAAACATAATACAATTCTGGATCAGAATCATAATACCTTTATTCGTCCCACAGAAGGGACATTTACATTTGTTACAACAAGTAAATAGACAAAACATCAATGCACCCGAGTTCGTAAACAGATGAGTCGATTTCAGATAATATCAGTAACAAAAACATGTAGGCTGATACTAGCCACCTACTTACAACATGTCCAAACAAACTATGCCTTGCTTCTGTTGTTTTTATCAGATGTGTTTCAGGTTTTTTACACATGTATGACCTGCACTAGTCTAACAGTAACATGTGCTCTATAGTTGCAGTTGTTCACTGCTTTTCTGCTTTCTAAATCACATGCCTGCATTGCATTGCTTCCAAAACAACCAGAAATTTGATGACATTCCCTAAACATTCCTGTCCACACTAGGCAGCTAAACATGTTGCACCCGCTGTTTGGGTAAAGAGTACAGACCACTTAACAATTACGGCCACATCAAAAAGCCCAAGCTTGCACGGGCAAAGTTCAATGTCAACAAAAAACCTCTTCTTCTTTTCTGTCTTAAGCAAATTAGCATAACCTGAGCCCTCTAGCACCTTAGACATGTGTCATAAGCTTGTTGACTGTTGATTTGTGTCCAGTGACTGGTAGTAAAGTGTGTGGGTGTTAGGTTCATGCACATGGAGAGTTGATCCTTGTCCTGCGGCTTGGGCGGTTTCCAAGTCTGGCACCAGCATTGGATCAAGCTGCTCCGCTAACAGAGATTTGTTTGGCTCCACAACACCCATGTCAGACATGTATCGTGGCCCAGCCATTTTGTGTTCTCACATGCTCCGGCCCTTCACAGTGAGGTGGCCCACTGTTTGGAAACCAGAAGAGTGGAAATTGTAAATCAGAAACACTTGACACACTAAAAGTTAGCACCAGTGCCACAAATCAGTTTTGTGGCACTGGTGCAGGAAAATAAATAACTTGCATAGTAACACATGCCTTAAGAACAGAATGAGTTGACTTTATATGGTGTAAAAGGACAGATAAGGACATCAGATTACACACATATTAGGATGTGCACATCCAAGCATGTGGCTGCAGATTTATAGAAGATGCATTTGATTGTAATTGGTTGGATTAATATGTTGTTATTACCACCACAATAACAGAAAAATAAAAAAATTACAGATAAAGACAATCATTTACTTAAGTGGATTACTGTGCCGAGTCAAATTGCCCTCAACTGCATGTCAACATAATGTTGCAAGAAAGCGATGTACCGTAAGTTGAATTGTGGTGTTGTAAAAGCTGAGACAAGTCATGAAACATAAATAAAAAAACTGAAATTACAATTTAAAAAGTGGGTTTAAAAGTGATTTACAGATTTACAACCCTCCACATACAGCAGAACAATCAGGTCAGAGCATATCAGGTAAGATAAGAAATACAACTCCAAACATTTTCATCTCCAATAACTACATAAACACGTGATTAAACATCATGTGTCTAAATTCTTTCTTGACCTTATCAAACCTATATTAATTACTGAAGACAAACAGAGCTACAAAAGGAATACAATCTATATGTCACAAATCCTGTTTTTCCTCCCTCCTAAATAAGGGAGTGTTTTGTGAGTAACAACTGTGTCCACAGCGAATGTTAGCCGAGCTCTCAGGTGCACCAGTCCCCTTAAAGCACCTGAAGTTATCTCCGGCCAGATTCTGAAAGCATGTGTTTATCAGCTGGCCGATGTCCATGTGAACACACTCAATATTTGCCCTTTGCTCCAGTTAGTACCTTTGCAATGCAAAATGCATTCATGTCGGACCTATGAAACCTAGGATATCCTGCCTGAGGGGACTACCACTCTGTGGCACTTGCGTCTGTCATCATGGGATGCCTCGGGCTGCTGGTGAAATCCCACATAGCCTTACTTCCCTTGGGCAATCTATACAGTCTCTTGACCAAAGAGCAAACAGATGAACTGCTTCTCTTCTGTCACGTTTGGACATGAAGAACACATATCTGAGAATACTGATTATGGCCCAGCCAGCCTTCAATATAATTATCTTCATCCTCACGGACTACGGCTGTGCACCACTATGTGCAACTGAATCTCAGACCTGATGAAAGGCAGAAGGAGATTGGCACTTCCTCCACTCCATTCTCAGCAATGCGGACACCCAAGACTGCGTGCTAAGCTCATGCCATTACTCCCTGATCATCACACATAACTGAGGCACGGCACCGCAGAGTCCTGCTTTCATCAGTCTAAAAATGACATCACAGACATAGCTTACTGAGTTTTCATAAAAGAAGAAAGAACAAACATGTCTGCCTTCCAGCCTGGTTTCTGAAACATCATCTACTAAGCAGGAGGTTATTTATAAAATGCAGACTCATGTATAATAAATAAACAACTTGTTTCTTATATAACATAACATTCAGAATAACCGTGCTACTTTGAGAAGAGTATGAATTGAAGCAAGGCCATTTTTTGTTGTTCTTGAGATTTTTATACCCTGGTTTTGTGTGCACACATACACACGTCTGACAGTGACACGTCTGCATATGAGGTAGAGGTGAGACTATCAGAAATTATGTCAGTGAATTTATGTGAAGGAGATAATCGTGGATGTCAGATAGCAGCAAAGGCGAGGAGGAAACCCCCCCC